TTACTTCAAAATACAACTTATAGAAAAATAGATAATTATGCCTCACTAATAAATCATGTTCCGTTACATAACTCTCATGTCGTGAAGAAAACATAATGTTTATAACGTCATCAATAGAACACATTGTTGTTGGCATTTCACCGATTATCTCTGTCGCTATCATCTCATGGAAAAAAACAAAAGGAATAACCTTTATTGTCATAATAAATGTTTCATACATTAATACAGTAATATTTTTAACACCCCACCCCCCCCCCATTTCAAAGAAGGGGGGTCCATGTTTCTGCTGTTTGACCGTCTGTAGGTCTGTTGGTCATGAAGTCGTTATGCCTGTCGGTTCACACACATTTTCTTTATATTTTTGTTTGTAGAGGCTGCACATGCTGAAATGAATTTCTGGTTAACAGATTCATCATAAAAGTTTCGAGGTCATATTCGGCTCTGTAGTGTGTGCCTCTTGGAACTAGAAAAAGTTCTATTATTGGCAGGTTTGGGTTTTTTTCATCGCATATCTGTTCAGAGGTGGAAGGGGCATAAGTTTATAAACAGTTCTGATGGATACAAAACATAATAATTATGATAATAGTATTTTATCTCGAGAGGCCTTCCAGATTTTGCAATAAGATTCCATACAAAAACTTTCTATGACGTAAAGAAGACCACTATATATTCTGTGTTAAAACATCAAAAGTCAAGGTTGTAATTTCACACAGCTTGTGTATGTAAATCTTTCATTTGCGGGCGATATCTTCAGAATCTCTCAATTTTTCTGAGCGAGTAAATTTCAAACCCTAATACTTAATATAAATGTAAGGCATATTGTGACAATCTAGATAATCCGCTTAATTTTCTACCTGCGAACTTAACAGAAATTTGAGATTCCGCGGAATTATAACCCCGTGGAAAAAAAAGTACATCTACAGTATTTTTCATTTTTGTAATTTTTTTAAATTCTTAATCGATGAACTTTTGAATGCCATATTACAAATATGTTTTGAAACATGATAGATATCTATTAAAATTAATTTCATTTCCTTGAGGTTATAAATGCTAAGAATAGGTTGTTTCAGGTAGTTGGTTTGAAGAGGGCAAAAAACTTTTTCAAGATGATCTAATTTCGCAGTTTACCAATCTTAAATCTAAAAGGTCCTTCACTTAACTAAGGCCCCTAAGGAATACATTCCTGGTTTAAAAAAAATCGATCATAGTTGTCTCAAAAATGATTTTTAGCTTTTGAGATATATGACAAAATCTTTGAAGGACAAGCCACTTAACACACCCCTTCAAACCTACCCCTGCGAGGTGAAATTCATAATTTCAGGAACTTTTATGAATCGTTCATGAACATTCATGATGTGTTCATGAACGGTTCATGACTGGTTCATAAAGATGGTTCATGAACTTTATTCATGAATATATTCATAAAATGTAGTTCATGAACAAATGATGAATTTATATGAATATTGGTAATTTTCATTTTAAAGACAGAAAAAATGTAGAGTTCAAGGTATTATGAATATTCATGAATTTTCATGAAGACTAAAATAATTGACAAAAATGATTGACAGAAAACACTCATTACTCTCATAATTCAACTTTTGCATGCAGATGCAATTGTTGAACAAGCCCCTGGCATAATTTATATATAATAACATTCTTTCACCAACTATCTGAAAAAATAAATCATGAAATCTCTAAACATTTCGTGTTTTTATTTGATTTTAATTAAACAAACACTGCATCACCAATGACAGCATTTTTTTTTTCAAATTGATTATTTATGTTTCTTAATAATTTAAATTAAACACTTATATTCATCATAATGTGCTTTAAATAATGTCGTTTTTATCACACAACTTTGTTCGACCGAATTTTCTCTAGCATCAAACTTTAAACAAGTTGCAAAATAAAAAATTCAGTTTCTTTTACAATGTTTTTTGAGACAAATATAATAGCATATACCACTCAGATGTACAATATAAGCACTTTTTTTTAAATGTATGTATTCTCAATGAAACTGCAAAGTATTTTACATCAAAGGTTATTAACAGAAATATCCAAGAAAAAATAAGATTACTGGGGGATCACCTTGGTTAAATTAATGATAATCAAGTTATGATATACATGTATGTAGTAAACTAAAGTATGCATTTTTTTTAAATAAGAGGTTAGATTCATTAAATGACATTGGCCAAGGATTGGGAGAGGTCATTGAAACCTCAACAGGATATACATTTACAATAAAGTGCCAGTGGCCCATGTACATTTACTGTACAAAGTTAGTGACTAGAGTGACAAACACATGTATTAAATGCAAAAATATATGTAGTAAACAACTACATTGATACAAAGATCCCATAAAACGAACAGTTGCTATTTTCCACCAAAGTATGTGCCAAAAATCCCAATTATGGAAGATACAAAACTTCTAACATGTTGCTAGAATCACATCCTCACAGATATCCCATGAAATTTGCAATAGAGGGTTGACAGATAATTGGCGTCACCAACGGATTCACTTTTAGTACGAAGGCTCAGCAAATTCGGTGTTGATCATTCCAACAGACACTTCAAACTTTCCTTGCGCAATTTCTGAAAGAGGAGATGACCATTTAAGATGTATCATTATTGATATCCGTATAAATATATGACAAATAATAAACTAAAGCTCTACAAAACAATTGTTCTTTTCTACCTGGCAGATCAGTTTACTGTAGAATATGAATTCACTATCTTGCAATTTTTTGTTCAAATTAGGATTAATTCTGATATTAAAATGTAAAAATGTGAAAAGTTTATAGACAACAGACAAACACAAGACTGTGACACTGATCAAAAAACTCACTTAGGCCTTAAAATGGCCCAGGTGAGCTTAAATGAAAAGGCTAAGGCTGAAGCTCAATGCCTGACTAACATTGAAAAACATTAATTTCAATTCATCTGATTTTACTGATTAAGAAAATAATGAAGAAATCTTACCATTTTTTTTTATACAGTTCGTGTTCTAAATCTTGTGAGCATCCAGATTCCTGTAAAATGCATGTATACTTCATAGAAGATGATATCTTTGATTATATTTGATCTAAAATAATTATACATACCCATGCAGTTAGCATGTTTAGATTACCTTTCAGAATTCATTGTTAAAAATTAAAAAGGATATGGAAATTAGGCATGTTAAGAATATAAATAGATCTTTAAATGTTGTTTACATGGCATAGTTGCAATATTTTTTTTAATCTTATGCTTAAAGACATAGATTAATAAAATCAAAGTTAGTTTATTTGTTTTGAATGATAATTTGAGCTGGTTCTCACCATATTCACAAGCCTCAAGTGACTGATTGGTTAAGCATCTACATGACATTGTATATGCACTTTTATCAAAGGCCAGGGCTGTGAAAATCATCTCAGGCAATGCAGCAACTATTAAAACAATGCAAGATAAGAGCTGAAAATGGCCATGAACATGCATTACAAAATATATAATTAATTACATGTACATCATACTCTGTAAATGTTATCTTGAACAAAGGAAGGTACAGGTAAAATTCTTTACATCAGTTCGATTCCAAGCAAGGAAATTCGGTTCAAACTCGATGATCTTAATGATATGTATAGATTTGTTAAATAATTATTACAGAAATAGTGCTTGTCCTAACGATTTCACCGTCGGGCATTTTATGTATGGTGCCCGGATTAATCAAAAGTAGCAGAAACATTCTTCGTTCGAGGACACATAAAATACTGTACAATATTGTACCTACCGGTCTTAAAAATGTAATCATCTTCTTCCATCCCAAGCTGACCATGATCCCCCCGTTCGTGGCATTCGTTCCAACTTTCCTTCTGTGGAACATCAACATGAACATGGCATTCGATATTTTTGAATTTAATTGTTCATCGAGCCCGACTTCGATCCCGATGCTATTGTAATATTTGTCCAATTTAATTAATGACGTAAAAAGTTCGAATTCTTCATTGATAAAACTTATTTTGATAAAAAAATTATATTTTCAGTGAAAAATTATTCAGATAGTGTTTGTTATTTTTTTAAAACAGAAATTTTGGAAATTCGAAACTAACGTATTTCTTAGCTCTACCGTACATTTTTGAAAAGGCGCAAACTTGAAAACGCGCGAGACGTTGAAAGTGGGAATTTGGAGAGTGGAAGGATCGGTATTTGTGATCTATAATTTGCATAGTCACTGATCTTTGTCAACTTTTAACGAAAATAACAGAATAGGAAGAAGGAAGACTATATATAGGATTGATCTACTTCATAACTGGTGAGTGACAAAAATGGAGGCAATCGCTGAGTCAGAAATCTGTCTGTAAATGTAACTGCCTATTTGTAAAATAAATTAATATGTCTTTTTTTTAAATGAAAGTTTTGTCTAACTTTGCTTTGAGTTTGAATCCAACCATATAACATACATTAATTATAGACTGAGACTCAAAACATTCATAGGCCTGGTTGATCTACAAAATGGCGGTCCAAGAAAATAGGCTTAAATTCCATTCAAAATGTTTTAATTTGGAAGTGCCTCTGATGCAAAATTAAATGAAACTAAATTGCAAGAAAATACACAAGAAAGTCTTGTTTTACAGTCATGGGTAATTTCTGAAAACCTTTTTTTTTAATTTTTTTTTTTTGAAGGAAAAAGAGAAGCAGTTCACAAATGTTAATGAGCAGAACTGCAGAAGACAAGAAACTCTGGCTGCAAAAAAATTTGAGCTCTTGAAAAAGAAAGAAAAAAAGAATTGAAAATATGAATGACATTCAATCAAAGGATCAAAATGATGAAATTCTGGAAATTCCACATCGAGAGACAATAAGGATTTTTGAATTGACCATCTCTGCTCGAACTGCTTGAAAGCACTTAAAACTGTTACCCTGCCGTGCTGAACAAACTTTTCTCCTAGACTGGAATTCAAAACTGTTCAATTTCTGGCATTAAAACACACTTTGAAACATGCTGAGCTAGGAAGGACCCCCCTCTCCTCTTGACCAAGTAAGGTTAAACATTCTGCAAAGAGTTGCGTTTGAATTGAAAATTTTTATACTTTTACCAGGAATGAACTACATTACTCATTTACTATGGTTTAATATGTCAGAACTGTCTATTTTAAGCTTTTTAACAAAGATTTTGTTGCCATGGTTGGAAAACAAAAAAACAATTCTGAGAAATCTTTCAAGATGCTGTATTATAAAACATCTACTGTTACTTTTTTAGCATCACTTCATGCATTTTCATGAATAAACATGAATAATAATATTGCATTTTTTGTTTACAAATATGCAAGAATATTCATGAATGCTAATGGTTCATGAATTTTATTCATTCATGAACATTCCTGAAAAAATTCATCAAATTATTCATGAACAGTTCATGAAGATCCAATGAACTTATTATTGGACATTCTTGAAATGATGAATCTTCATGAATATGACACTTCATGGATTATTCATGAAAAAAAATATTCATGAATATTCATCAATTTTCTTTCATGAATAAAAATTCATGATTTGAAAATGTCCAATAATAAGTTCATAGGATCTTCATGAATATTTCATGAACATTTCATGAATAAAATTCATGAAAAATTCAAGGAAATTCATGAATTATTCATGATCGTCTCGCAGGGGTAATGCCGAAGTTTCATATTTGCGTTCAAGTCTCAAACAAAACTGCTTTGTTTCTCAATCAGAGAATATGCATTGCAAGCACATTGACTCTCCATACGAAATTAGTTTTAAGAATGGAGAGAGAGATTGATGCGAGAACATCATTTCCATAAGCCTGATATCGTTAAAAGGTGAAAACGTGTACAGGCAATAATATGTTTAAAGAAAAAAAAATGAACATAGTGGGGACCGTAATGAAAAAGAAGGTCAAAAGTTATGATTGATTGATTGTATACTGTTTAACGTCCCTCTCCAGAATATTTGATTGATATGGAGACGTCACCATTGCCGGAATTTAGGCCTAAGCTCGGCACTCTGGGCCATTGAGCAGGGAGAGATGTTTATCGTGCCACACCTGCTGTAACACAGGACCTCGGTTTATACGGTCTCATCCGAAGGACCGCCCCATTTAGTCACCTTTCACGAAAAACAAGGGTGTACTGAGGACCTATTCTAACCCGGATCCCCACGGGATAGGTCAAAAGGAACATGTTCCATAAAGCGATAAAACTTCTATTTATAAAACACGAATCAATACCAGTACATGTTCAATATATAATGATAATACTTTATATGATAAAAATTAAAATAATACGACAATGTTCAATAAAATGGAAAAAAAAACATAAATTGATAGTTTAATATGTTCAATATATAAGTATTATATTTATGTTGAAATTGTCATTAAGTAGTTCTTATGATATACCATTCCGAAAGTGTATTGGGTAAATTTTCTTGCTTCTTCAGGATACACGAGTTTTCCTCCCAGAGATCCATGGGCAATAGTCCCAAGTAAACTCTGTAGATGATTTGCATTAAAAAATATATTATCTTTGTTTTGTCTGATGATGAGTAAGCTCATTTGCAATCATTTGTTAAAAAAAAAAGAAAAAAAAAGAAAAGAAAAGAAATCAAGCAATATTCCGAAATCGAGGGCATATTTACATTATCATATAATAAGAATTCATTGTGATAGAGATATTTTTGGTCGGATTTTCAGCTTTAAGTATAGAATATTTATATTTTTATTATATAATATATGATATTGATGAGAAGTTGTCAATTTACCGTCTTCTTTTACATATACGATGTTAATAAATATACGTTTTATGTTACATGTACCAGTAATTAGATACCTACTTTTCCTGGGCATCTGATCCCACCTGTGAAATACCCAAGGGGTCCATGATTTCTATCCTCTTCACATATTTGGATTGTTTATAGATTGTTTTTTAGATCGGGCAACGCTCGAAATCTTCACAAAAAGTTACATAAACGCAAGTTTTGTTAATTAAATAGATACTACTTGCTTTATACTGTCTCTTTACTTACAATATTTGGATCCTTTCCAACTGGAACACAGAATATTGGATGTTTGTTCCCTATTTGTTTCACTTGTTCTAAGAGATGCATCGTCTTCCATTATATAAACGAAATATTGTGTTAGTAAAAAAGAAAGATGAATTTTAATAACAACAATAATAGTGAAAAATAATAGGGAAAAAATGATAGCTAAAACTAAAGAATAAATAAAGAAATATCAACAAGTGAAAATATTCAAAGATATATTCTGATATTATCATATTATGGATCTTATAATCTGTATCATTTTAACTATCTGTCTAATAAGAATAACTTATTTAAAAAATTAGAGAAATCAGTTGAAAATTGGGCTACGTTTTCACAGAATTATATTTCTATGAGAAAATCTATGCAGTCAAATTTATTTCTGATTACGTGGTCTTCTTCAATTTGATGATTAAAACGATTTGAATATGAGAAGCTTGAAGTTGTTGTTCTTCCATCCGAAATGAGGATCACTCTTGCTCGGACAGTAAACAAGCCAACAGTGGTCATACATTCTGTAACAAAAGAGATTAATGCTAAATCATCATCAGATTCTATTATCATATTTTCATGAAAACATCAAATCTGAGTGTCTTCAACTTGGCAGAATATAAGTTGAATTATACATTCATGAAATATACAATATGTATATTTGAGTTTTTAACATATGGTTCGTTTTCTGATATCTAAAACTTTATTAAAGACTCACGCAGATCTTCCAAACCAGGAATAGCTAAAAGAAACCCCTCAATCATTTCAGATGGACCCGAACAAGAGGCGTCATCTATAATGTTGAGCTTACACGATGAAGTAAACAATTCATAACTTGAAGAATCCATTTTTAAGACACAGTCAAATATCTTAAGCTACTTTTCAGGAAAAGTCTATATGTCACATATTTCTAATGCTCAATGAATAATACAAGCTAAGGTCAACATGCGCAATTATCATTCTTCATTTGAAGTTACAGTGTACATGAAATTATTATGTGATAATACAATAGGGACATAACTAACAGTATTCAAGGCTTAATCATCAGATATTGGACCATTGAGAGGTATGTACAGAAATACATGCAACTCTTACAAAATGTTTTAATTCGGAACAGGTATGATCGGAAGTATAAGTTTATAACGTCACAAGGATAAATATAATCTAATATTGATAGCTTGGCAGAGTTATTATCTTTGAAAAGATTTAATAAGACATAAATTATATAAAAAAAAAATAATGACCTAATACTCGCTTCAAAGATTCGTAATTGTTGGAAAGATAATGAAGATATTTATTTTCTTTTCCAAAGTGTATCACTGCAACGCGTTCATTCAAATTCGGATGCAAAGCGTAACCTATATAAATTGTAATAATGACGTTAGGTATGAATCAATAAATTTGTTGATTTTGCATAAATATTTCAATTTAAATAGCTTTCAATAAGGCTCCATGAAAAAATTGTTTACTTTCAATCATTGAAACAAATGTTTCCTTCATCTGTTTAAAACCTTCTTCATCCATGGTCTCTGATGTATCCAGAATGAAGAAATTGCTCACCCCATGTTGCAGCCTATATCTTCCTTTCCAATCTACAAATTATACATATGCACAGAATAATCAAATTGTGTACACATTACGGTTTGTATCAAAATAGAAATAAATCTGTTTGCAAATTTATAGCATTAAGTGGTACACCAAAACTATACAATACGCCAGTTTCGAGATTGTAACTCTCCTGCGATAGAGGCGCAAAAAGTATCCATTTCAGCATGGAGGTGGGACAGTTTGCTTATGTATACAAACGTGCATAAATAAATGAACGATGTCTATGACTTTTAAAATTTGTTTAATGTTATAGAAAGATATAGATGTTAATCAGTGATGCATTTTATGATTTAATCAAGCTCAACTGTGTATATTTATAAATCTACTTTCAATTATAGGGTACTTGAAATCGAAATAAACGTCGTGGTCTTCGTAAAAGTAAAAGATTTTCTTGATTGTACAAACATTCTCTTAGAAGTTAATGGGTTTTTTGAAGTTATAATAAGGTAAAAAATCAATGTGTCATTTAGATTGCCGACATGTAATAATCAGAGTCATCTTAACCGTATTTATTAGGGGTCCATATATCTCTTCCCTCGTCTGAAAAGTCTCACATCCACTGAATTTTCTTTTTTGTTCCGATTTTTTTGCTTTAAAAAATGACACCTTTACTTTAATTCGGTTGTTCTCGAGTTGAACAGTGCATACTTACAAATATATAGTTACAATAAACCAGTATATCGATGATGCGATATATCCAATAATAAATATCTGTCCCACCTGTTTGTTTACGCGGCAACCAAACTCCCCTCCTCAACGAAAGAGCGCACCAAGGGAGATAATCTCGAAACTTGCGTATTGAAACTTACCCTTCAAGACAAAATCTTGTATAAATACAAAACTTTTGTCTTAAAAGGCTTATTTAACTATATTTTTAATAGAGTGTAAACTTGTGGAAATCTGTAAAACAGTACAAAGCTACCAAAAAGACAGATCAGTTTAACTTACTTTCTTTCGTATATATTCTCAAACTTTCTCCAAAGCTAAAATCACCCAGAAAGCCAGCCATTAGATTATGGAAGCTTACAACTATGAAAGGTCTTGCTTAGACATTGAAAAGTCGTTTTAGCATTTCTTTTCACTCCTCAAGATATTCCAATTTACTTCATAAGCCGAAGTACGGGAGCCCGTTGGTGCCACCTACAAAAAATATTTTATCTGGCGTCCGCCACTTATTATTTGGCGACCGCCACTTATATATCTGGCGGCCTCCACTTAATATATGGCGGTCGCCATATATTTATCTGGCGGCAGCCACATATTTATCTGGCGGCTGCTTTATAATATCTGGCGGCCGCTACATAATATCTGGCGGCCGCCACATAAATTTTTTTGCAAAAGGTGAATGTTATTGGGTTAAGATGGATATTGACACAGCCGCTGCTTATTATAGGATTAAACGTTCTTTTTTCAGAATTTGTCGATGTGTAAACTCTGCCATTTTACTCACAAACTGAATAAAAGTTCGAAGCTCTTTTATGTAAAGTTTGTGAGTAAAATGGCAGAGTTTACACATCGATAAATTCTGAAAAAAGAACGTTTAATTCTTATAATTCCAATTACGAATTTTTAAAATTATTAAAATTATTTCTCTTAGAGGCCGCCATACAATCCGTTATTTTGTACGGCGTAGGAATACAACGCTCATAGTGAAAGTAGCAGACTGACGACGTCCTCGATTTGCTCTTGTTCGTTCAAAGATTTATGGAAAATACGGGATCTGTAGGATGTAGGGGAATATATGAATTGATGCTGATAAGGCAAGAGTCTGGGGTACGTTTCTTTTCCCTATATGGAACGTCGAGAAAATGACAGCATGATCAGCGATTTTTTAAAATTCACATTCGTGATCCGACAGTGACATAAACATAACATTCCCGTCTCTCAGTCCTGTTTGTCGCCAGTTTTATTTTATTTAATTAAATGTGAAGTTTCTTGTATTCAATATTTAGCTAAAAAGACCAGAAATAACTGCTTTTATTGTTTATACGATAGCCCAGAAGCTTCGTCAAGAAAGTAGTTCTGATTGAAAAATTCATCGATGTGTAAACTTTTTCTAAAACGTGTTCTCGTCCAATCAAAACACAGTTAATAAATAAATAAAATGAAGATTGGAATTATTGATAAAAAGTTAATGATAACAAAACGAATTCTGAAATATTGGAACACCATTCTTAGAAATCCAAAATGCAAAACTTTATTTAATTCTCAACCAATCATAGCTTACAGCAAACACAAGAATATCGGTGAAGAGATAACCAGGTCTCACCTAAAACTAACACCATTATTTATGTCCGTGGCCCCTGATGAGGTTTCTTAATAAATGAAACACTCTACAAATACTTGCATAATTCAAGCCAGATGTTATCTGGCGGACGCCATATAAAATATGTGGCGGCCGCCAAATATTATGTAGCGGCCGCCAGATATATAAGTGGCGGGCGCTAGATGTTATATTGCGGCCGCCAGATAAATATTTGGCGGCCGCAATAAAAATTATGTGGCGGCCGCCAAATAATAAGTGGCGACCGCCAAATTATTATCTAGCGGCCGCCAGATAAAATATTTTTCGTTCGTGGCACCAACTGGCTACCGTACTAATTTTCACACTGAATCCACACGTTAAAACATGCGCATGCATCAGGAAGCCAGGTTTTATCTGGCGGACGCTAGATAAAATATGTGGCGACCGCCAGATTTTATGTAGCCAAAAAATTAATAAGTGGCGGCCGACAGATAAAATATTTTTCGTACGTGGCACCTACTGGCTTCCGTATAAACCGACGTCAGACACAAAATATTTATTTAAACAACTTGAAATCATTCGAATATATTTTATCTGCTGATTTGTAATTGGTGTATACGATTTTTCAACGATTTATGAAATTTCAACACTACAAGAAGTGGAAAATGGCTGTTATTTATTTTACTATGATTGATCCTAATAAAGAACATCATAAAATTACAATTAAGTGATAAATGCACACAACACACAATACCTAATCATCAAAGTCTGTCTGGCGTATGAGTATAGGGATTACACCAAAGCGAAAAAATTGTCTAATACGATTCATTTAAGAAATAAAGTCCGCGTTTTCGTGAATGTTGCAGAATAACCTCCGAGGTCGAGAAATGTTGTTTGAAAGATAAAAGCCGAGGCGCTGGTCGAGAAATTTAAATTTCAAATAACATTTCGAGACCGAGGTGATTCTGCAGCATTCACGACAACAAGGACTTTATTTTTATTCTTCCACGTATGGTACAAACGCTAAATTATGAATAATCCTTTCCTCTATAGAGAAACGAATTAGGTCACCATGTCTCGATTACGCTGTTTTATTTAACACCAGAGGCAAAATTTGTTTGCTTACTTGTGTACATAGGATGCAGACGATTTGAGCTTCCGTTACATTAAAATAGCCTTTTTACAAATTACAAATATGTTCATAATATGTATTGATAAGTTAAAATGAATATACAATAACAAAATCATGTTCCTGTTTTACTGCTAAAATCACGTTGTTTAATGTGTAGGGAGGTCCGTGGAATAGCCCCGCTTGGCTATAAAAACCGGCATTCATCAGCAACTTGATGCAATTTACAGTGTTTATACTGCAAAAGACACATCAATGCAGTCTAAACATGTATTTCATTCTACAGCCAAACATGCATTTGAATTGTTCAGATTTGATACATGTTTCTGATCAGATAATTTTTTGATGACGTTCGTGATTTATTGAAGAATAATGTCCGGCGGTTTCCTTTGATGTTTTGAATAATCGTGGTTGAATTGTACTTCTTTGTTGGTAACATATAGTTTATCATTTTAAATCGAAAAAAAAATTAAAACTTTGATTATTGTTATCTGTTACAATTGTGCACTATTTTCGTTTCCGGATTAAGCTGTTCCAAAGGCTGTTCTATCAATTGCAACTTACTTGAAGGATAAAGTGGGAATTTTAAATAGAAAAAATCGGATTTGCGGAAAATACAGGGGATAATAAATGTAAATATAAGCATTGTATTATCATTTTTTGAAGGAGGCAGTCTCATAACTGCAATGGTGTGTCGAACAAATTGCACAACGCGCAGTTATGAGACTGGATCTTTCAAGAAAAGAACCCGATGTCACACCTCGTACATAGATGAAGCCAAATCTTTCTAATAAATCTATGGACAAATATCGATTAAGTACATAAATCAGCCCTATTTAGATAATACATATAATTCTCTTGTGTATGAAGGCGGAAGAGTACCCAAAAGTTGCAATTAAAAAATTTATATATTACATTTAAAATCCTTTATTTGGAAAAGTAATTACTTCTCTGTATTTTTTAAATGCTATTGAAAATTCTTAATATATTATAAATTATATTTCTACAAATTTTGGTGTTTATATCTTCTCAAGTATGAATTTTATAACGTTTTATATACACCGGGTTGAAATCCGACTTTTTAAAAATTGTGGCTTCGTTGACACAGGCAGCGCACTGGACTAAGTTCGAGTGTTTTGATTTTGAATCTTCAAATCTTATTACTCGATAATTTTTTTCAAGTAAACATGATAAAACTTCGTAATTTATCTGCCAAGAACAAGCTTTATCCACCAATAAAATTTTATAAAGATACATTATTTTCTTTAAAAGATATGAGCTCAGTCTACAAGATTTTGGAACAACTCTCGTATATTAAGATATGTATTGCTTGCCATTGCAGGCTTCATTAAGAAAATTAGGCATTTGTCCACGAACTTTTTGGACAGCCCTCTTACATACATAATTTGTATTTTTTTATCGTTTACCAGCTTCAAGAGTTCCCCCTTTGTTGGCGATTATGACAAACTTTTTCTCCCATGGGAAATATTCGACTTAAAAGATCAACGACTTTGTAAACGAAAAAAAGAAAATCGGATTTGTTCATTGAAGTTTCAAATGCAACATTTCTGTTCGTCATTTTGCTTTGCACCATGTGGACTCGAAAGCATATAAGGAAACATCGCTTTTCGTGGAAAAGACACAGTATCCTAAATTTTCTACCAAAAAATTTTAAGCGTAATATTCGACGGAAGTGTAGTAAATATGGTTTTTTGAATACGGTTCTCCATTATCATAATTAAAAGAGGTTATTTTATTAGTTGCAAAAGTAGAAGGGGTTTTAAAGTTCATCAGCACTACCCATTAAACAGGTACTCAGGCGTCAATAAAATGCAAGTGTATCTATTCAATACATGTATTTTTCATGCATTGCTTTAAATCAATATAAGTCTAATACACATGTAGATTTAAAAGAAACCCCGGCCATTACAATTTTTCTAAAGATTATCAATTCAATGATTATTTTTTCTGTTAGCAGATGTATATACGTTTAAAACTTTCACATAAAGAGTATGTGGGTGCGTTTTGATACAGAAGGGGGTATACACTACTTTTCTGACGGCCTTTGAGTCCTTCTTAAATCTTTATCTCCGACAGTTATTGGTTGTAGTTGGCGTCGTAAAGTACGTGATAATCTGCGTATTAAATTCTTTATTTATATATTTCAGCTGTCTCGAGTAAAGTCATCATTTCGTAAGTTTTATGGTTGATACAATGACTTTGTCAGCAAATACAACTGAAGCTTTTCATACAAACTGTTAGTCCGTTATTTATACACTGAGTTCACGACGGTTTTTTTCCGTTATTTTCCGATCGTGATAAGGAACCCACAGTAGGTGTGACAGGTGTGGCAACGCACTTTGAAAAAAAAATTTCAAAGTGCCTTAAAATTGGAACAAAATCAACGAACTTTGAAAAAAAATTCAAATTGCGTAAATTTGAGACACACTCAACACACTTTAAATTTTTTTTTCAAAGTTTAGAGTGTTTATAAAAATTGTAAACCATGGGGGCATTTAACGCACTTTGAGAAAAAAAAATATGTATAAACAAAAATTCTGGACTTGGATTTTTGTAATCGAGATAATAATTTTTACAATGATATCTTTGACACATCTTCCTTTATAGCAATGCACATGCATGGGGCATTCTTTTGAAATACATTATATCTATTGTTACGTATACGTTAAACCTGAACGAAATCTTAAAAGTCAGACCCCCCTCCCCCCTTTGCTTTTATTTGAAATGTTAAAGATATTAAAAAAAATCATAAAATCCACTGAAGATGCCATGGAATTCCTAAAAATGCATTGATGATTATCTACAATCTGGAACAGGTTACTCTACTAAATGTCAACCTCAATAGTATTCGAATTGCTTCTCGCTGTATTCAATATAATGTTCATTGCTAGTTTTTATATTCTTTTGATTTATTTTTCAATTGTTTGTGTGGTGGGGGATTTCACATTATTAAATTAGCTCTTGGCACTTTGAAGAATATGTTTCAGGTCTGTGGCAACGCACTTTGAAAAAATTAGGCACCTTGAACAAAAAAATTAAAAGTGCGTTATGAGTATGCATCAACATATTTTATCATGGGAAATTTAACGCACTTTGAAAAAAAATATGTATGAATAAAAAAAATTCTCGACTTAGATTTTAGTAATTGAGGGAATCAATTTGTAATAATTATATCTTTCGAAAACTTTTAAATTTACATGTATTGATTTATCCTCATTGAGAACATGGAGACGAGTAGAAGGTCTTTCAGCCTCCCTCTTTTTTCTTATACATAGCCGTCGATAGAAAATTGAAAATGGACACCCCTCTCAAAGATAAGCCCCAATTTTCAATACTTATAATATGTTTATCTTTGCAAAACATTTGTGTACCTAAGCCCACTCCCCTCCCGGTACCGATATCTATGCTTCTACACCAAAATATTTGTATTTGCATAACTGGTATTACGTTGAAAACTTTCAATATATTTTAGTTTGCATAAAATACATGCAAAGTGGAAGAAATGGTACAGTTACACATTTAAGAGAAAAAATTTTCAAAGTATCAAAAAAAAAACAACACCAAAATCGGTCACTTTCAAATCTTGAAGTGACCTTATCACCGAAAAGTTATCAAACAGTTTCAATTTTTTACCATACCCAAGACTTGCAAGAATATCTACCAACGCATTTTTTCAGAGTGCGTTAATATGGTCAATATTTACGAACTGCGTTGAAAACCAACAGTTTTTACCTTTTCACTTTAATCTTTCAGATTGACCTGCTTCAAATTTGGTTAATCTTGACCGCATTTTTTAATCGTTCATACGAAGACTTTTATATTTCACAGGTACATCCTTGTGAGAAGACCTTCCATTTTGTACCAACAATTTCGACCTCTTGACTTTAAAGAGACTAGTATTTGAGAAAGTTCAACCTTTGCCATAAACTGCCATACCGGGACATCAATGTTTCTCCAACACATCTTGTTAATATACATGTATAATTTTGATAATAGTGTAAGCAGATAATGCTACATAGGTGCTTGTTTGGCTATATATCATTTCTATTGTTGTTTGAGTGAGATGATTTGGAGGACAAATAAGTGGCCAAGAAATCAAAATATGATACCCCTTATTTCAAGATAAATATATACATTAAAGGTAAATGGACACAGAGATTAAAATATTTCCTGTATAATATGCACCACCACAGCAGCATCACGTGACTTTTATCAAAAGCTAACAGGACAACAATTTCCTGGAGTTTAATAATTTCTTTGAATAAATAATAGAGTTTAAAAACATCAATTATGCCTAGAATCTCACTGTCCCGTCAGTAAAATAATTCCACACATTTTCACGAAACCTTAACCAATGTTTTGAATTTTATACATATGAACCGAGATTTTTTGTAGAACCATGCTTAACTCAGGATTCTAGGTTCTGGGTGTTGTTCTGCATTTCGCCATTAATAGAATCACGTGATGCCGTGATGGTGGTGCACGTCATTGTGTTAGCCACTCTTTTATCTTTATGCAATAGATAATAAAGGTGTGCGTTTATCGACGGTTTTGGTAAATTATCAAACTTAATTTTCTTTAAAAAGTCTAAATTTCCCGAAAAATGATTTATATGCTTCGTTAATATACGAGCGTAGGAGAAAACTTTCCATCTATACAAATCTTATGTTTTGAAATATATATATATATATATCCATTCTCAATGACCGTGTAGTGTAGGGCAGCGTTGTGAGAATTCCATCGGCATCGAAAGCAAGTTTTTTAACTTGCCTAGATAGCCGAGCGGTCTAACGCGCTGTTCCTGCACTGCTAGGAGACAGATTCCGTAGGTCGTGAGTTCAACCCCGGGCTGGGGCGGAAGTGAGTATCCTTGTAAAAGTGAATTTCTCTGTGCTTTCTATATTAATATTCCTTCACTTAGGGCAGTTATATTAGTTTAAGAGTTGTTGTAATTTGTGCTTTATAAATAAAATTAATTTCATCACAACATGTATTGGTAACGATCCTCTAAAAACTAATGTCCAAATAACTGTATCTCACTTCCATTCTCAATGACCGTGTAGTGTAGGGCAGCGTTGTGAGAATTCCATCGGCATCGAAAGCAAGTTTTTTAACTTGCCTAGATAGCCGAGCGGTCTAACGCGCTGTTCCTGCACTGCTAGGAGACAGATTCCGTAGGTCGTGAGTTCAACCCCGGGCTGGGGCGGAAGTGAGTATCCTTGTAAAAGTGAATTTCTCTGTGCTTTCTATATATATATATATATATATATATATATATATATATATACTCGATGAAAATAAAAAAGCATAACTGTTTGTACATGCTGTCTTAGCCAAATTCTCTTTACACGACATAATCAATTCCAAAGTTATTTGATGTACACATGACGTAATCGGTGGTAGATTTTAATCAAAATGACAGATAAAGCCTAACAAAATAAAATGATTTTGTTAATGTTTACACGTCTCTGTTCATTTTCTAGAGATGAATTATATCTCTAAATACAAAAATTACGAAAACTTTTATTCTTAAATTTTTATCATCTCGCTTACTATGACGTCATAATATAGCACTGATTTAGTCAAGATAGAATATTTTGTATGCTTACTTATTAGTTATTACTCCTGCGTATGTATTTTTTTCTGCAATAGCTCAGACATTCATGCCCGTACTAACAACCAAAGAAATACATTTTATTGTTTATATTTATATCTGTTTAAATAATCATTTAGACTGGAATAAAAAGGATTAATTATTGTATTAATGAAACGTCCGTCTTTGTACGTGTCATTGACGGAACAGCCACTGATCAAGAAATCTGTACAGGTGATATGTCTAGTGTAATATGTTATAAATAGTTATTCTTTACCTGTTGGAGGGAACTTTCTGAAAAAAAGATAAACAAAAGTCATTAGTTATACTGAGACTTTTATAAAGCAAAATTTATATTAAAGCAGATTCAGTAAAATATTGTAAATTATGTTTATTTAATCCTTCATAATTGTTTTTCTCTCTTCTCCGATACTTCTATATATTCTGCTGGTTTTAAGGTATATTTTTCATGACGATATTTATATTTTCATTTTTTATATTTGATATTATGAGTCATAAAGCTTACCTTCCTACACTTTCCGGAAGTTGGAGACCTTGATATTTTCTTTCTCCTGAAAAAGATAATAATTTTGATTAAATAAAAAGTAATAATTAGTTTGAGAATAGAAAAATCTTGTGTCAATGATTCAGTTTAATAAAACCAAAGGGTACTTAACAAAATTACTTACCAACATCATCATAGATTGTTTGGTTGTTTAGTGATATTATCAGATCGTGAGATTTTAAATCGAAACAAGCTAAATATACTGGGTATAAAAGCAAATCAAGAATTTCTTTTCCTATCTCTCCTCTCTCTAAGTCCCTTTCATAAAGTTTATATCCCTCTTTCGAAAGAAATGTCAGGTGAGGTAATAAACTGCTTTGATAGCTTTTCATATCAGCGCCATACTTTGTTCTTAAAAAGATGACAAATTTCGTGAATTTTGCCAGAATACTGATCTTTCGTACGTGCTGATTTGCATAGGTTTTTATTTTTGATGACAGTTTGTCAAAGAAAGGTTTGATGGAGTCCCGTATTATTTCGTTTGATCCTTCCTTTAAAAGGTTTTCTACTGTGTCAAAAATTTCCTTTAACTCCTCTTCTGTTGTAACTTCATTGATACAGTCTACCATGTGATTCAAAAGGTCAATGGTTGTTTTCAGTAAAATATCTGCTTGTTCTTTCTTTGTTGGGTCTTTTGCTCGGGCATTCACTTTTGGAGATGTAGAAAAAAATCCTTCAAAAAAAGAACAATACATTTTAGTAATGGTTAATATCTAAATTGTAAATGTAGGCCTTGCAAGCCGGCTTACTGTTACTTGATGGCAGTAATTTAAAAGTTTTTATTTCTATATTACACGTTACAGGCCCTAGCATACTGGTTTAATAGTTAATACTTTCATTTGTTGGTGGTAGGAAAGGGTGGTGTATTTATGGTAGTAACGGGGGTTTGAGAGTAAAAAAATATCATTTACGATATTTAAAACAGACCGTCGACAAAATGGCTTATTATGGTCATTATTACTGAAAATTCATAAAGTTTCACAAATCTAAAGTAGCACAATCTATTTCATTGGGAAATGAGTATTCAGATAAAGGAGGAAGTAGGAGACAGTTACTGTAGGGACGTATCTTATACCATACCTTCAGAAAGGTGATTGTTTGCTCTAGTTTGATGTTAAAATCGCATGTTTCAATACTGGAGATAAATTTTTACCTTTTTCTAATCTCATTGAAGGTGTTAGTTCTCTGATAACGTCAAGCATTTCCTTCTCACTTTCATATGATTTTTTAATTTTCTCCATCCACTCCCTTTCTAATTCCTCATTTATTGGTCGGTAGTGTGCAAATTGAAGACTCTGAATGTAAATTTTATGTAAGTGATTTCCTGTTCTTTGACACAAGCCGTACATGACAGTCCAATACTCATAGAATTCAGTATCGGAAACACACGCACTAGAAACATGGCTATACAATTTGTCTTTAATTAAGCGGATACGTTCTATGTCATCCCCAAGAGTAGTCTCTCCAACAGAGGGCATATTTGAGATCCCCCATCCTTGTGTGGGAGATGGGATATTGGAACAAAGATTGCGTATCAATGTATAAAGCAATGTTATGTCAAAGTCTCTGTAACCATCAATATGTGCATTCTGGATAATAAGAAGCTGATCTTTGCGAATGTTTTTAAACAATGGTGTATTTGCTTTGACTCTATTGAATACAACACTAGGAGAAATTTCCTTCTCTAACACGTCTCGTAAAATAGGCGTCAACTCCTCTACTATGATCAAAGCAAGTCTCGCAAATCTTGTTCTGTCACTTTGGGTAAACACTTTACTTAACGCCATTCTGAAAAAAAATGTAAATGTGTAAATTCCAATATCAGAATATGTATGTAGAACGATGAGATCGCTTTACCTATGTTCACACCACACACAATTATGACCCTGTCAATGTACTCATGAATCATTTCTCAGTTAAAATAAAATTTCAAGCATCACATACATATGTCTTCCATTCATTTTCTGTGTTGATGATAACATTTTTCTTTTAGAATTACGTATAAAACAAGTATGGCATTTTATGAACTAAGTATAAGTCAGAACATCCTGACCTGATGAAAATGATTTTTTAAAAGTACATACAGATTACAATAAAAACAGGCTAAAATAATGCTTAATCAGAGTCGTCAAATTGGAGCTCAATTCTAGACATCGAAAAACATGTAATACAGTTAAGGAATGATTTTCTTAGGAAAGGCAGTGGAACACATTACCTTTTGTCTTTTAATGAAATTGATGAGAATCACATTTTTTGTCATTAAGAATAAAGCATAATACAGCTCTCTTCAGCCCCTTAGAAAACCTAGTTGTGGAAATTCAATGTTTTTAATTGGACGTGGAATTTAATTCATGAATGGGACAGGATCGCTTTTCAAAAAGATTGATTTACATTTTTCTTCTAGATTTAAGTAATAATTATTGAATGTTTTAACTTCTCCTATATTCAGAGCTAATAAATATAATATAAAAGCTGATTCTTGTTATATACAGTGCTATTTTCAACATAGCAAAGGGCAATCATTGGCTGAAATAATAAATTATCCAGCTTGAAAGGGAAAAAATCTTTTAAAAAATGTTTGGACTAAATTGCCACAGTAACAGCATAATATGCAAAACTCACATTCGTGTCTGCAGATCCAGATAACTAGTTAGTGAAATAAGCTTCTTGGATACTTTCTACGGTGTCAACAGTTTCCATAGTGCCTCACTGACTTTTTGTTGACTATAAAACTAAAGAGGAAGGCTTCCTTCAAGTCCTGTATTCTGCTTTTATCTCCGAAATGTATCTGTTTATGACCTTACGTGGTCTTCAGTAGTTGCTCCATTATTCTAGAAAGGTTCTGTTTGATTCAGTGGACAAGGATTGATAACTTCGAATTCGCTGACAATATGACAAAACTGAATGGAAGACAGGACCATATTCCTCCGAATGAAATCTGCTACGTCAGCGCTCACAAAAATGACGCAGATGCACACCACGGATAGTACCTCAGTAACAGAAGATGGAGTGCCAGTAAAAAAACTGGAGGCTTTGGTTTGACAGGGGAATTTGATTGTTGTGCAGGCTACTAAATTTAAGAAGAGACAAAATAAAGTTTTAAATTTCAGATTTACATTTTATGAATAACAATAACATTGTTTTAGGCATGTATACTTTTAAAATTTCAAAGATTTCATAAAAGTATAAACAGGAAGGATATGGAGATAAATAACAGTTTTTCAGATCAAAGTCCATAAAACAATACAAAATAGGAGCAAACATGGACCCCGAAAACAGAATTGAGCATCCCCTGCCGACAGGGCAATATCAACATATTAGTTTGACTAACAATAACTTTTCCACTTTAAAAAAAAAACTGCACGTAAAGTTGTAAATGCATCTTTTCCTCAAGTCTCAAGATAGTTTTATGACAATCTGTATTAACGTCTTGTAATCGTCATACATAAATTAAAATTATATTACACTCTTATAAAAAATCTTTATGTCAAGACTTGATGATGTCTGTACACACATGATACAGTGTAAAATACTAGTATTTGAAATCCGTGTTCCTTATGTTTAGATAAAATACATTCGGTACACCCAGCGATAGAACGATCCTTGCAAAGAAGTTCACATAAATATTTTGCATTGATAGAATCAGGAAAATTTAGCACAAATTCTGCTTTATATAAATATAGATATATAGGTCTTCAAATAACAGGCGCAATTGATACCGGTGGGAATTCCAATAGATATTGTTGGAGGGATTGGTCTCCCAAAGCTACATAGATATATTGTCAATCAGAAAATCAGGCATCTTATTGATGTCGACTTCAGGGTACGTGTGTATACTATCAGAGTGTTTTCAAACAAAATACTTTTGCAATTTACCAATGACAGAAAAAATTACTTTTTTTCATGTCTGGCCCATATCGTCTGGCGTAATCTTCAAACGGATTCCATAACATTTATGAAAGACTGATGCCAGTGGAAGAATATGACTTTCCTATATTTAGGGCCTTTTAATAAAATTGTGATCTAAGATCTCATTACTAACTATATTTACGTCACCTGTTAATGTTATAAAAATTTAAGCGGGAATATAGTTTATAAACATAATCATAATGGTGGACTATGTTTCAGATACTCGGTATACAGGCCATGTAACATGTAACATGTAAGATGTATAAGGTTTATTGTTATTTGGTCGATGTATATTTGTAGGAAATACAAGGTGTAGTTTTTACTTGAAATCCTGAGGAATACAAGACTAGTACTGGACAATGGACTGATTGATCATTCAAACCCAAAGACAGCCGCTTTAGATTTACGCAGCACTGTTAAGGCCTAATAGAGAAACACCGACATATTACGAACGAACGTAACCAATCATTGTACTCTTTTGTATTCACGGTTGCATTATTGAATTCTTCAATTTTATTGGGATTTCGACAGATAAAATCCCCACAAGATACCTCAAAGCCACGTCTTGTTGTAGTCGCTACCGTGACACTACAATACATTTCAATGGACATTTAAACGAGCAAAGGGGTTCGAGAAGGGAAATGAAAGGAAAATTTTAAAAAAAATATTCTGTGGCATGAAATAAAAAAAATACTAGTAATACTAGTTGATTAAGGTTGATTAAGCTTCTTATTACAAACATATATATTATAACTCTTCTTATAATTCTCAAGCCCCCCCCCCCCTAAACACCCAAGACCCAAAGCTAATGATATAATTTCATTGTAAAAGGTCAAAGGCTTCGCGAGATATTGCTTGAAACAACAGACGGACAGAATTATAAGACGAACGGGCAGGCTGAAATAAATAATTTTTCTTTTTTTTTGGGGGGGGGGGTGGCGCAAAAATAGAAGTTTATTGAATTTTGTTTTTGACATAATATAAGATATATGAGAGCATATATCATGCCATCATAGGACCTATGCCCCCTCACCCCCCCCCCCCCCCCCCCCCGTCACCCAACCCAATATATATTAATCCGGGTCCAAAGATCACTTTTCGGCTTTCTTTCATTAATGACATTTACAATTTACAACATTCAATATTGATACCTGCAGTTAAAAAAATATAGGTGATTTTATGATACTATACGGGCATGATTTTTTAAAATAAAAAGTGAATTCTATATGTATCATATGAAATACATTGTAAATTACTAGACGGATAATCTGACAGAAGACAAAATATGAATATCTCGGGACCTGGTATGAATATTGGGGGTGGGGAAGTTGTTTGGTCTACAAGCACTTGTGATAAGCATATGTGTGCACATACTTTTGAAGTATGCCATGACAACTAAGCGACAACTACGTTTTCATATTATTCACCCTTTTAAAAGACCGGTATCTTTTTGTCGGTATTCTAGAATCAATCTTTTTTTTGTTTTTGTTTTACAACAAGATGGTGAATATATATTTTTCCTTACAGATGAAGCAAGTTATAATTTCGGTTATAGTTTTTATATCATGTACATTTAACTTTCGGTGGTCAAAAGTATAAAGTGTATCTTCTAATGTTATATGTTGACGATTAATGCATGGTTAACAAATAATGACATAGTGGAGCATAAATTTAAGCCAAAGAAAAGAACTTTACTAAAAAAAAATGCACCACCCCACTCAAATGCATATTTTCAGCTTTTTTTATAATCCACGTACATAAACAGATACTAGTATACATGTACATAGGAACGGGGTTGTTGGGTTGTTGATAACCCCCCCCCCCCCAATGATAGCGATAAATAAACAATGCGCCAGGCATTGGCACTCTCCGGAATTATTATTTCCACTCTTGTAATATTGTAATGTGTATTCTCGTTGTTTCCGGTTGCATTATAAAGTGCGCGCTTTGTACCATCCACATGTGTTGTGATTTCTCACATCTTATACCTTACTCTCATTGGCGATGTAATATTATAGAAAACTTATCTACTGTATACTTGTGCCCCCTCAATAAAAAAAATCTTTCATTTTGGCTTCCCAAGGAATTGTTTGGTAGTGACTTTAAACTTACGCACTACCTATTTACTTGATTGCACGGATTTATTATTTTTTTCAAGCTAGCTGTAAAAAGTAACCTTTTCCCATAGGCGACCACTACAAGTAGTTTGTATATACGTTTAATCACTGACGCATGACAAACGCGTTTCCTAATCCGTCTAAAGTATTACGGTGTATTTTCTTCTATTTGGTCGTTTTTTAAAAACATTGTAAGTGATTACAAAAATGTTGACATGAATAATTCTCAAATACAAGTGGTTATTTAACACTATCCGTTCTATTTTACATATACTTATTTCTTCCGATTTTTAACTTTATCTGGGTACAATTGCTGGTCCCGAGAAAACTATCGAGATACGGGAAGTTAGGGAGAGTTACGTTCGTTCGTAAGATGTCGGTGTTTCTCTACTATGAGAAATCAACGGAAAAAAGACGTGCAAAAAAGGGGGATTTTTTAAGAGTTGAATTTATTTTAATTAAGCTGTTTTATTATCACAGAGCTTTAATACTTAGTGAAATAGCATAGTATTACCCACTCTGTACTGTATGAGGTTTAGTCCCATCAATGGACAGTCACGTGATGAATGCATAGTCCGTGTACTGTATGTAGGTCATTAACAAATTTCAATATCGCAAGGCATACCCTTGTTGAAACTAAAAATTCAAGCTATTAATTGTTTCTGCATACTTTGTAGTTTCTGAAAAGTGCTGCTGCTTTGAATAGAATTCGCGTTTTAATAGTTAAATTTTAAAGTAAATAGGATTATGTCGAAATTTAT